CATTAATGATCTTTCTCTTACTTCTAATCTGGATTTGCTCTCATCGCCATAAGGTATCTTCCATTTCTCTTTTCTATCACTACTACTTCCATCGCTACTCTAATGAGTTAGCGAGTAGCATCCCTCCCCCACTGCCGAGGCCGCGTAACACTTGCCAAGGGGCTTCATCCCACAGGTAATGTGTGGAGATTTGTAGCTCGCTGATTGGTCGGTGCAGCGGCTGCTTCTTCCCATCTGCCTCCAGATTCTGGGACTCTCTTCCTTCTTCTGTCTATCCTAATTCTTTTAATCTATCTTCCTTCAAAAAGTGGATCTATTGTCATTTCAGGGCCTAATCCTCCATATCTCTAGATCTTCTGTACTCTGACTATTTTTTCTGTCTGTGGCTTTCCTTTGTGTGATATTACCTCATCTCTGCCTTGTCCTCAACCTTTTTCTTTTCCTTCGTCTTGGTGTTTTCTCGTGCCATGGCCTTTATTGATGAGGGCAGTTCTTGCTTGTCCCGGTGTCGCAATCATAATATATATATATATATATATATATATATATATATATATATATATATATATATATATATATATATATATATACATATATATTATGATGCCTTGTTTAACTTCAAAAGGAGAAGCTTGGCATGACCAGTATTTCCCATCCCTGGCCTGAATAGCCATTGAGCAGGCACGGTCAAGCCAAGGAGTAGATGGAGAAATAGTTTTGATAGCAGAGGGGATGAACACTTCCTCTCCTGAGGTTATGATCTCAGCAACCTTTTAGGTGTACCTGACCTGAGATTGGGATCTGAAAGCAGTAGTCATCCCTTGGAAAATCAAGGAGAAAGTCATGCAAATCATCATGTTGGGTAAACTCATAGTGCCAGAGACAATGTTAGGTTGGAGGAATAGTTGGTGGGGGGGGCAAAAATGGATGAGATTGAGATGAAAGAGTGGTCAGAGTTACCAAGAGAGGAGAGTACAGTATATGAAGAAATTGTAGGAATAGAAGTAAAGAATAGGCCAAGAATGTTAGGTGTATGGTCTTGGTGACTGAGAACACGTGTAGGAGATTAGGTAATCTGCTCCTGATCATGAATGACGGAAAAAACAGGGTTCTCACTTCCTCCACATCAGCGTGCATAGAATGAAGTCACTCAATGTGATGCACATTCAAGTCTCCAATGTAGAAAACTTCAGCATGTGTGAGAAGACAGCAGAGACTTATGGCAAAGGAGAGGTATTCAAAGGACACAAAGTCAATGGAATTTGGAGAGCAGTAACAGAAACACAGGAATATAGTGGTGGTGGAGAGATAAATCTCTAGCCAGAGATAATCAAAATTAGAATTCAAAGTCCACTAGTCTTGCAGTAGGTGTGTTGGTGTTACAGTAGGCATGGTCCCCACCTTTGGAACGAAAAATAGGAATACAGCTATAGTGAAAGATTTGAAAAGAGAAGAGGATGCACTGCTAGACAACGAGTTTCAGAGAGAACGAGGAGGTTAGGGAGGGGTGTGCTCAAGTGCTGTCCCACAGACGAAAGATTAGAGTACAGTCCTCGGATGTTAGAAAAGTGAGTAGTAAGAAACAGGTCTATTGGGAGGTGCAAAGTTAAGGGCAACACCATTACTATTACCAGACCAGGCATGTCTACCCTTACTCCAATATTGGAAGCAACTAATATAATACTTCTTCATCACTTCTTATACACGTGAATTTGATTCTAGTAGATGCAGATGTACTTCACTCATTCATTCTTCATATATTTTAAAAAACATACCGTGTTTGTATTTTTTCTGTCTTGGGAATATCAGATTGGAAATATTTACAGTTATAGGAAGCCAAACTTATGAAGATACAATTCCATCACATATCCTACAGATCTAATGGCATACTCACCGAATTAGCTTAATTGATAAAGTTTACACTACAAAGAAGACCACTACCCTTTACTTTTCCCAACTGCCTCTTACGAAGAAAAGTTGTACATGCCAATTCAGAGAGTCGACCTTGGTACCTCATGAGTGGGAGCAGAGAATTATAAAGTCCCTACTGAGGAACAAAAGTGCAATTAATGCAGCTGTAATGTTTTATAAGTATGTTACCTGTATGACATTATCAAAGATTTCAATGGTTGTCATATTGATCGCTGTATCGAGTACTACGTATTCAGTAAGCATTTTATCACCACTGAAGAAAACAGACTCCTGTAATAAAGAAAAAAAAATATTTATTTTTCGTGTTGGCTAATATAGTGTTGCTGACCCTTTAACTAATATGATACTGACTTTACTTGCCACAAAGAAGAAATCTTTAAACCAGATCATAAAGCCCAGTGTTGAACCACAGTACATAAAACAAAAAGAAGCACTTAATTCTTGCTTATGGGTACAAAAGACATAGAGGTTCATTATAAGGTCTTCATATAATTTCCATTATCTATGGTCTTAGTATTTAAGTGTTTCAACATGCTTTACTCACAGCAAAATATTCAATCTTTTTTGAGTTAGCAATATGTGAGTAGAGGAGTGTGCATTTCTGGGTGTCAAATGGATAATGATGTAGACGAAATGGACACTCAAAGGTGATGGTGTACCACTGAGTCAGAAGTATGGTGTTGCTTTTACCTTCGAAAATTTCATCTGTTGAGGAATCATATCGTAAGAGGGTTGTATCTACTTTCACCAAATCACACATGAATGTTAATTACTTTCTTCACATGTGGTCTTAAGGGTATCAAGCCATGCCTTAATAGTTAGGGAAGTGCTCTGTGCTATCTGTCAAGAGCTGCTTTTTCATAATTCTGAGGCCCCTTTTTTATCATCTGGTAACAGGAATACTCTTGCGGGTTACATAAGCAGTACATACTGTATTTGTCAGGGAAATATTCTGAAAGATCATTGTATAGTATGTATTCTCATTATTCTAACATCTTTTTTTATCAACATTTATCGAAGGTGCTCTATGCTCAGTGATTCAATGCCAATCTTATTTGTCAAGAAAATTTTGTATTAGCTGCATAGCCATTATTCTGAGACCCTTTTATTCAGCTCTTACCAAAGTGCTCTTAAAGATAGGCAATATTATGAAAATATTTTGTATAAACTATGTATAATAGCATGCTCTCTCTTTTGTTATCCTTATTATCAGTTGGTATTGGAAATGTTCTTCAGGCTTATATCTATATCTTGTTTACCAGGGAAATATCCTTTACTTCTAAACATAATAACTTTACACTGATTCGATTTAACTTATTATGAGTATTGATGTTTGAATTCTTACTTTACCTTCTCTGGTTTTTGTGAAACTATCTAGGAGAGGTGAATTATCACGCTGCACCAGAAGTGTTTCGCTTCTTATATTTTGGTCAGCTGGACTTAAATTCCCAGATTCCACATAGAAATGCGGTACCCACAGATTTGGAGGTAACTGTCAATCACAAATGTGAAGTATTACATCTGGTTTTTCACTGTAAGACACCTTTGCCTTTGTAATGTAGCTGCTAAAATGTGATTTGTTCGCAATACTCTGATAATTAGGGAAGAGTATAAGAATTTTTTATAATCAGGATATTTCAAGTGCATAATTAATTTAGACAAACTTTTAGAGGAACTTAAGTGTCACAAACCTTGGCTTTATTGGAGAAATTTCCTGGTTTAAGGTTTTTAAAGAATAACCTAGAGTCTCTCCATTTGACGAATTGTTTGATTTCCAGAACAACCTTAAATCCCACCAGATTCAATTCTCTTACAGAAAGTATTTCTTGAGAGAAATAGACTGGCAGACCTAAGTCATCTTGCCTTGGAGGTGGAATTTCACTGGAGTAAATCTCAGGGAGTACAATGACTGAACATTTGTCTTCATCGCTGTGATCCTTACAGTTGGTAATTTGATCGCATCTTTGCTCTTTAGGTATGCAGTTGCCATCATCACACGTGTATTCCTCTTCTGTACATGCTGTCAGGACCAATTCTACCTATTTGGAAATTTAAATTTACATAGTATGAAACAAGAGTTTTTAAAACGCTCTCCTTAGTACACTGGATTAATTTCATTACGACTTATTTGACCAGATATGCATATTGTATATATATATATATATATAATATATATATATATATATATATATATATATATATATATATATATATATATATATATATATATATATATATGCACAGACTGGCCAAAATCTGGAAACATAGGCGGGAATACATATATTTTATGTACAGTGGCTGCATGACAACTTCCTTAATTACTTACTGGAAGATGTGGCTGTGTTGAGTGGGCTAGTCGTTCTCTAGATAGTCTTCCTTTGATTTCTGGGTTATGAAAAAGGGGGTTTATTTTATATGTCAAAATTAATCCCCATTTGGGAGTGGACAGAGATGGATTGAAGTTGGGAAATAAGGCTGGATGCCCCTCCTATCGACTCACCAAGGCCTCGAACGCAAGTCCATCACATCCTGAGTCGAGCACTCTACCGGTTACGCTATGCAAATATGTGAACAATATGAAAGAACACATCATAAATGAATGTGCTAAACAACTAAATTACGGAATTGTTGGATAGCATTCACCTGACTCTTGCAAAGCGCGATTAACTTGGCATTGCTAATAGGGGACAACATGTTGAAGATATTATTGATTAAAACTACTATTGTTCCGGTTTTACGTCACGGATTTCCTTTTCTACTAAGGGCTAGGATGGTTGCCTTCTTGCGAAGGACTTGTTTTGGAAGATGTAATCGTTGCCCTGAGTGCATGCCCTTGCTAACCTCAGACCGTGACGGGGCGCGAACCCTCAACCTGACGCCTCAGAGTCGCGGACGCTACCGCTTGAGCCACGGTGACTACATTAAAACTACTATATAATCATTAATTATATGATCCGCCTTTACATCACGATTCCCTTTCCTATTAAGGGTTAGGAATGTGCCCTCTTTCAAAGGACTTTTGATTTTACAGTTCAACCATTACCCTGAGTAAATGCCCTTTCTAATTT